TTGTAAAAGTTCATTTAAAAATAGTTCATTAATGGTTTGAGACTCTTCTTATGTGGTGTCCTGCAGTTCCCATGCAATGATAAAATACCACACACTATCAAGCTGCAGCCAACTGCAAGGCTTCAAGATTGCTTTTTTGAAGTGTTGCATTTATACAGATCACTAAAAGTACACAATGCTGGGTTGCTGCACATGGTTGCTTTTGAATCTGTGTGATTAACTGAAAATAGAAACTTTCTCCTGGAAGTGCTAGACAGATAAGCCACACCCAAACTTTTTGAGCTCTAAGAAGCTTCAGAACAAAGGTAGCATGGGCTGGGTGATACTTTATGGTGAGGACCATATTGCTTTTTTTAAAAAAAAAATGCCTTTCTTTGCCAACCCGACTAACCTTGGAAGACAGTCTGCATGTTGCGCCTTGCAAGTCAATGAATAGATCAGAAGCTATTTCAGATGAAGGAATTTGAACAAGTTGCAGGACCAAAGGGTCTCATGAAAAATTGAGCTGAGATTTCATGATGGGTTAATAGGCTACTATTTTGGCTTTAAAGTGTGCGTTGCTGAGATGAGACCAGATTAATGAGGGGGACTCTGAGAACGTTAACCTCTCTTGTTGAACAAAAGCATTCACTGCATAGGACTGGCTCATTTGCCCCAGTTTCATTCCAGCATTCCTTGTGCTGGTCGCCAGACACCAGACTAGAGAGGAAATGCTCCATCAGTCTGGGGCAGAAGAAATTTTAGAAGGAGATTTATTAAAGAGAGTAGAATCTTAGCAAGAATCTTAGCAAGTTTTCGTCTTAAAATTGGTTCTATTGAGATCTGAACTGAAGGTTCTTTAATAAATTTTTTTGCCTTGAACTGAAGGATTCCCAACACCTTGTTTGCTCCACTCATTTACCTTTCTCTACTGTCACCTATCTCTGTGAACCTGTCCACAGCAGTCGCACCTAAGGGGTACTAATTTTCTCTTCTTCGTTGAAGTTCCTTCCTGCTTCTGCTTCTGCTCTGCTTGTGCCATCCTGAAACCAGGAAGCAGGGGGAGGAAGTACAGTGGTACCTTGGGTTAAGAACTTCATTCATTCCGGAGGTCCATTCTTAACCTGAAACTGTTCTTAACCTGAGGTAACACTTTAGTTAATGGGGCCTCCCACTGCTGCCGCGCCACCCCCCCCCCATGATTTCTGTTCTCATCCTGAAGCAAAGTTCTTAACCCGAGGTACTATTTCTGGGTTAGTGGAGTCTGTAACATGAAGCGTCTGTAACCTGAGGTATCACTGTACCACTTATTACCCTCACCCTGGTGTCGCCTGCTGGAAAGCAGGACGTAAACTCTCCTCTGGTTTGATTCTTCCCTTGCCCTGTAGTTTAAATGTCTGCTTGCCTGATGGAATTATCTCCCCTCTCCTCTCCCTGCCTGCTGCTCTGGGGGTTCCACAAACTACTGAGCCAATTTGGGGTATATGTGGGCAGGGAGGGGGGGAAGAGGCGGAAACACCTTGCACAAGCAGAAGTCCTTGTGCAGTCTTCCAGTAGTAGGACCAATTAGTTGAATCCAGCCTGTTGTTACTGCTGCTGTTGTTAAATGTGGCTATCAAGAGTAGTGAAACCAACCGATGTGAGATCCAGTCCGAGTTTAGGTCAACATCTCCCTTGCACGTTGCCAAGATACAGAAGTAAATAGAGACAGTGGGGTAGCAGCATACTACTTAGGGAAGCCAGAGAGTTTCCTGGGGAAAGCAGAGATCGCCCACAATTGCAGCCTATGTTCAGTTTCTAAGCCTTAGACTTCCCTTCTCTTTCAGGAAAGGGCTCTAAGCAAGGGCAATGTGAGCTGAATCCTTACTGGAAAGCCAATATACAGAGTTATATATAAATAGAGGTCAGATTTTCAGACATGCTTTATGACCCCAGGCAATCCTCTTTCATTATATTGTGCCCAAGCTCTTTATCTGCCCTTAAAAATCTAAGTCTCAGATGCGTAGGCTATATTTTCCTCTGCATTTTCTTTCACTTTGGAAATTGACAAAGAGCCAGGAGCCTGTGGAACCAAATGCTTTTAGTTCGAAAACAAATCTTTTGGTTGGGTTGAAAACCTGTTGCTCACTACGGTGACTTTGTCCCAAGGAAGCCACATAGCTCAACTTCCAGCCTTGAACACTCCCATTGCCAGCTTTATGCTCCTGCTGGTTTGAACCTGGTCAAATTGGGGTACTGCCTTCCCCAGGGTCTTAGGCTCTCCATTTCCTATTTGCGCATCCAAGAATGTACTCAGTATGCCTCTGAGTACTGGTTGTTGGGATTTGGAAGCAAGAAGAGTACTGTTGTGCTCAGGTCCTCTTTGTAGGCTTCCCATCAGCATTTGGTTGATCACTGTGAGAACAGGATGCTGGACTAGATGGACCACTGGTCTGATGAAGCAGGGCTCTTCTTCAGAATGCAAACTATCTTGAGACCCCTTAAACATCAATGCTATCTCTGTAACTTACCATGATGGCTATGTTCTACCTCCAATGTTGGAGGCAGTATGCCCCTGAATACCAGTTGGTAGGAACCAAAAGTGGGGAGAGTTCTGTAGCGTTCAGGTTCCATTTGTGGGCTTCCCATGGACATCTGATTGGCCACTGTCAGGGGCAAATCTAATATGAAACTAATGAAGCTTAAACTTCAAGACCCCCAATTCCTGAGTCTTTGGTTTACATTGCTTAATTGGGGGGGGGGGGTCTAGTAGACCCAATTTGAGTCACTCAACTCAAATTGATTATTTTGTTGTTGTATATATTTCAACAACCCCAAAATTGGAGAGTCAGTAGCACAGATGTTGTAAAGGTGTGATGATCTGTCATGGATCATCCCCACTAAAGAATATAACAGAATATACCCAGAACTCATTGCTGGTTGCAAAGGACCCCCCATGACAATTAAAGCTCCAGGGTCCAAAAAATGGAGGTCCACCACTGGTCATTGTAATAATAAGTTATTGGACTATATGGGTCTTTTGTCTGATCCAGCAGGGCTCTTATGTTCCTATGATATTTAAATGAGTGCATATTTTAAACACCCCACATCTTAGTATTGAGACTGCCAAAGAGAGAAAATTCTAGGGGTATGTGTAATGTTCATAGTTGAATCTGTTATTATGCCATCTTGTGTCATCACATGTGCAAGGCATGTATCATCCTTGATCACATGTTACTCCTGCTTAGGGCAAAACTGTGCAGAAAGGAGTGGAGCAGTGGTTTAAGTCCTGCCCCCAGCATTGCATTTTTGAGAGGTGACATTGTAGCCATCTTTGAATATCTAAAGGACTGTCATGTGGAAGACGGAAAAAGCTTGCTGTCTGCTGCTCTGGAGCAGGACCCAAAGCAATGGATTCAAATTACAAGAAAAGAGATTCCAACTAAATATTAGATGTCGGGTTGGGGAGAGAAGGAGGAGTGGTGGAGACCTCATCCCTATCCTGACCCTTCCAGGGAGGAGGAGGAAGACAGTATAGATTTACAACAGTGGTTTGCAGGATCACAGCTCAGAGGCAGATGAGGGGAAAAGTTGGGAAATAATGGGAGAGGAGGAGCAGGCAAAGCTGGAGCAGCAGCTGGCTAGAACATTGTCACTAGAAAGCATTCCAGACCCACCATCTCCCAGAATCCGGCAAGCCTTAAAAGTAGGAAAGCAGAGGGCACGTAGCAACACCCGTAGAGATGCTGATGACAAATGAGGAAGTGGGAGAGAAGGGGGGTGGAGATTCACTCAGGGCAATGCCATTATCCAAGAGGCTGGGTTCTATAGCCTCTCTCTGTGAAGAAACTTTTCCTTGTCTTTATACTTTCCTGGGCAACCAGCCGGGAGCTGCTGATAGCACCCTGACAGGAATAACTTTCTGGTGGGAAGAACTCTTCAATAGTGGAATGGACTACTTCAGAAGGTCGTGGAGTCTTCTTCATTGGAGGTTTTCAAACAGAAGTTGAATGGCCATCTGTCAGGAATCTTTAGTTGTGATTTCTGCATTGCAGCGGGTTGGACAGGACTATTGGGGCTCCTCCTAACTTTACAACCCTACAATTCTATGAATGAAAACAACAGCAATAGATGTGATACTAGAGGTGGAGCTAGAAGCATGCCCCCATTTCTTCCTCAATACATTTTTTACCTTCCCATGTATAACACATGAGCAGGAGTAACCACAAAAGCATAGATGAACTTTTCATGATAGGATCATGATAGGATTTTCAAAATGGTTTTATGACACACTACCATCATTGAACACATGCATACATGTTCTTCTTCTTTCTTCTCTTCTTCTTTGGTGATCACTTGTAGCCGAGTAAGAATGTCTTCCGTACACACGGTTTTAACAATGAGTCTGTAAGTGACTGTGCATATATGCTTGTGAAACATGGACCACTTATAAACACCATCTCCAACTCCTTGAAAGATTCTATACATGTTAAACACTATTGCACGCATACTACTCATTACTCCCTTGTTTTTGTTTGAAAAATCATCCCTGTCCTTTGGCCATGCTGGCCAGGGCTGATGGGAATTCGAGTCCAACAACAGTGGGAAGACACAGGTCAGCCCTTCTGGGGAGGTGATATGGAAAGAAGCATACGAAAGCCTGTGCCAATTGGAGAACCTACTGACTCTCTCTAAAACCATCCTGATGGCATTGACTGCAGCCTCTCAGGTGGACAAGAGGAGAGGAGAGAGCTTCTCTTCTAGCAGATAGCCCTGACAAAATCTTGGGTAATAATGTTGGGTATGTGTGTGTGTGTGTGTGCGTGTGCACTGAATCGAAGATGCACACCCAGGCATCCAGAAGGCACATGAATAATTGCTTTCTCTTCTCGTTGGGGAATTGTGACGAGAGTCTCTGACGCCTTAAATCATATTTATCTGTTTAAAATTGCTCTTGCCAACAGGAGCCCAAGAGAGGAAGTGGCTTGCATTCTGAGGCGCTGCCCCTGTGGAGTGGCCACAGCGTGCTTGCAATACAGAGGCATGATTTGCATTCTGTTTGCTCCATCTAGCAGTGCATAAAGGGAGCTTCATTTCTTCCCCGGCATCTCGTTGTGTTTGAAAGGAAAGGCTACGTGGCTGCAAAAGGTCTTACTAGGGGAATAGGAGAGGCACAAGGCAGGTTTTGCCATGCAAGGGCTGGGATGACAGGTTGCACTTGCCTTCTCTGTGCATTGTACTTGGCAACTTCTGGAAATGGAGACCCCTGAAATGAAAACAAAAACAAAGGGTACCTTGATCTGCTTTCGGTATCACCAGTTCTGTAACTGCATGCATGTTGCGGATAATGTGAAACTATTCTTTATGCCAATGCAGTGGGCTCCACAAATTGCATACATTGAGCCCACTCACTGTTCTTTATGAAAGTGACTGAAGCTGTCCAAAAAAGGAGGAGGAGAAGCTTATTGTTAGTTATTTTTTGGGGGGGGGGATGCTGGTTTATAAGGAAGAGCATTGTACAGCATGTGCTTTGCACACAAAATATCCCATTTGCAATCACTGTCATCTCCAGGTAGGGCTGAGAAAGACCTGGAGTTCTGTAGAACTGCTACCAGTCAGTGCAGACAATGTTGTGTAGTGGTTAGAGTCTTGCCTTAAGATCTGGGAGACCAGTGTTCAAATCCTCACTCAGCCACGAAGCCCACTGGGTGACCTCAGACCAGTCACCCTCAGCCTAGCCTACCTCACAGGATTGTTCTGAGGATAAGACAGAGAGGAAGAAGAACCATGAACGGCACCTTGAGCTCCTGCGAGGAAAAGGTGGTATAAAAATATAATAAAAAAGTTAATAAATAGGTATATGGATGAAGGCTCTGACCGTATAAGGCAGCTTCCTGTGTTGGTTTCTGTAGCTTTGACTTGCTCCCTCACGTAGTTGTAGCTATTTCACCACATAGTGAAATCTGGTAGGCATAATGTCATCCTTCATGGTCCCTGATTGGTTGGGATCACCAATATGACTTCACTCAGGTTCCCTCTGCATCATGTAGTCAAGGCTGCTTGGCTATGGGAACAATGGCTGCTTCGTTATGTGATCCCTGGTTGACTGGAATCCCTTGTGGGGCTGAGGTAGGCAGGAGCTGCCTGTTGCATCACAAACCCTGTCATCTGTAAATGAGACCCACAAAGTGTTTAACCGGATGGTATGCTAGGGTGGCTGAATTCTTCATTCCGTACTGCAGTTCCTTAATCTGGATAAGTGAGATGATTTATTTTATTTTTTTTGTACAGGTTTTCAGACTAATAAACCTGAAATATTCTATGCATCTAAATGAGGTGCTGTCCTGTGTTCCTGAGACTGATTTAAATCCCATGCCGTATCTGCTGCAGGGGGTGGCAGTGTGAGGGAAGGAGGCTGATGGGCAAGATACAAAACAGAACCATTCAAAGTCAAGTGTAACAAAAGTGGCCTTTTATATGTGTGATCAGATTTGTGGCTTTGCAAAGAAACAGCGAGACCAAAAGCAAAAAAGCAAAAAAAACCCACCCCCCCTCTTGTGTGCTGTTTTTGAGTTTGCAGATCTGTTTGCAAATGAGGCTGGGAGCTCTCTGGGTATAAAAGTGGATGCTTGGCAAATCCTATTTCACTTCGCCAGTGAGCTGCAAAAGTATTGGATAATGGGTTATGTGTTGTAGATCTGTTTGATTGCATTGTGTTGCAAAGTGGGAATTGTTTTGCAACATAGATTCTTAATCACTGAGGCATCTATGATTGCGTCGAAAATTGGTTGAAATTGAAAGTTAACTATACTGCAGACGGCTTATTCTAGTGTATAATTGAAAATAAATTCTAATAACTCCTCTTGAAAAGAGCTGCCAAGAGGACTTACTAATACAACCTCCTTCCTCTACACCCTTTATTCCCCCACCCCCGTGAGTTTCCCTTATGCATAGAGTAGCAATGGGAAAGGGGCTCATAAAGCAGAACACAGCATGACATGTTCTGAATGGAAGGCGACTCAGTGAGCTTGCGAGCTCCTGTTCTCTCCCTCTCTCCATCCTTGATGAGGAAAACCCTGGTGGGTTCCCAGGGAATTCTAGGAATTGTAGGTCTCGGAGGGGAACAGGGGTCTCTTGGCTCCCAGAATTCTTTGGGAGAAACTTTGACTGTTCAAAGTGGTATCATTGTGCTTTAAATATGAAGGTGGCCTAAGAGGAATAAGAGTTGTAGTTCCTCCACTTTCCCACAAATATTCTTCCCTTTGGACCGCAGAAACCAATTTTCTGCCACTTTCCTGGTGGTGGGGTAGAAGCATCTCGGAAACTTTTCAGGCGGGGGTTGATCCTTACTTTTCTGAGGAGATTGATGCTTCCATTCCTGGCTCTCACCATGAAGTATAGCTAGCAGGAAGTTGTGAGAGGGAGGCATAGTCCACTTCCTGCCACCCACAGTTCCCATAATGCCTTGGGTACAGTGTGACATGGCACTGCAGCACCCTCAGGGGCATTCCAGGAAGTGTGGGTAACAGGAAAGTACAGAGAAATCTTGCTACAATGAATGTGATTTTTATTTACAAGTTAAAATAGCAAGGAAGAATGGGGGGTGGGGACCTTGGTCATCTCATGAGATTAAATAAGGTAAGGTAAAGTAAAGGTACCCCTGCCCGTACGGGCCAGTCTTGACAGACTCTAGGGTTGTGTGCTCATCTCACTCTAGAGGCCAGCGCTGTCCTCAGACACTTCCAGGTCACGTGGCCAGCGTGACGAAGCTGCTCCGGCGAACCGGCACCAGAGCAGCACACGGAAACGCAGTTTACCTTCCCGCTGTAAAGCGGTACCTATTTATCTACTTGCACTTAAGGGTGCTTTCGAACTGCTAGGTGGGCAGGAGCTGGGACCGAACGACGGGAGCTCACCCCGCCGCGGGGATTCGAACCGCCGACCATGCGATCGGCAAGTCCTAGGCGCTGACGTTTTACCCACAGCACCACCTGCGTCCCTAAATAAGGTAACCCTCTCCCAAAAAATTCAGAGAAATTTCTTTCTGCCATGATTTTTCAGGAGAGCTTAATTTTTTCAGTAAAGTTTAAGCTTGCCCCCAAACTTCCAGTGCGTGGCCAAAATAGAAATTATCAGCATCACTCTAAAAGTTGTAAGTTCCTTTAAACTGTTATTAATATTGTGTTTTAATGTTGTAACCCACCCTGGGACCTTAGAACGTAAGAACAACTCTGAAGCATCAGGCCAGTGGCCCATCTAGTCCAGCATCCTGCTCTCACAATGGCCTACCAGATACTCCCGTGCGAAACCCACAAGCAAGATTTGAGTGCTAGAGGACCTTCCCCACCTCTGGCTTCCAGCAATTGGTTTTCAGAAGCATTGCTTCCTCTGACCGTGGAGCCAGAGCATAGCAGTCTTGGCCATTGACAGCCCTTACCAGAGATGCCAACAAGCACTGAAGATTGAGGGGAACGGGTTGCACGTGTGACCTTGAGTTACACTTCAGGAGGAGCCAGGGAACAAAGCTGAACACAGTGGCTTGCAGCTCTTCCTCTCTTGTGCTTGGCAAGGGTGAGGAGGAACCAGCCACTCAAGCCATGCTGAGCTCCACGCTCAGCCTCCTCCGCCCCTGACAGTAGGAAACATTGGGTGGGGGGTTAAAAATGCTCGGCCTCTTGGAACTGGCGCATCTGGTCCTTACAGTGAAGGGCAGGTTATTAATTATAATAACAGAACAAGGATGGAGAACCAGATTTTGCTGGAATACAATTCCTATCATCCCTGACCATTGGCTTGGGTGGCTGGGACTGATGGGTGTCCATCAACATCTAAGGGTTCCCCATCCCTGCTCTAGAATAAACATTTCATACCAACCTAGCTAACTTCCATCCCACTGTGCAAACCTCTTCTTCCTATGGTGGCATTTACCTTTTGCAATTCTGAATTCATTTTTTTTGCTCCATCAACAGGTCTGGTAGAAGCATGCAATTGATGCTCTTGTCTTGCATCTCCTGCTGACTGTCAGAGTTTGTGTGTTCATTGCATCCCTCCCCTCCCCTCCCTTCTCTTCCTTCCCTTGTTCTGAGCCATCATTTCCCCTGAACTGGAGCCAAGTATCAGCAGACAGCCCTGGAAACAGATAAGATGCATACCTTGGATCAGGAGAGAATTATTGCATTGTTTTCCCAGGGAGGCAGCCAGAGAGATTGGGGTCTTGTTTGCTGAATATTTCAGCTCTTTTGAGGAGCATTTGTGGCCCATTCTTCATATTCCTGGTAGAGACTGCTGAACGAGCAAAAAAGGAGAAGATCTTGCTTTATTCTCCCATGATCTAAGCACAAGGTGGAGAGAGGTGGGATGATGACAGGGGGAAGACACCAGCAGAATGAAAAGGCAAATTTTTAACCACTGAAAGGGAATGCATTTTTAAAATCCACATTGGAGCCCTAACCTGCAGAGCTTGCTAGTATAAAACAAAGTGGAGGCCAAACGCTTCCCAAAATTGCAGAGAGGGAAAGGGAGAAATACATGCTAGTACTGCAGATTAATTATGGACTCATTCACACTTACCTTTTCCCCACACTTTCTAAGCACAGGTTCGTGTTTTAAAGTGCTGTATCCGAGCAGTTTTTTTATTTTATTTTGTTTGCCCCGGTGCTTTCCCTGTGAAAACCCTGTCTTTAACTCTGAAGCAGAACAAAAGACAATTCAGGTTTTGAGCAGATTGTCATTTGTTCTGATTCAGCAGTAAAGAGTGGGTTTTCATGGGGAAAGCACTGGAGGGGGTAGCACTCTTACTTATTTCGCCAAACCTTTATTAGGCATTACAGTGGTACCTCTGGATGTGAACGGGATCCGTTCCGGAGCCCTGTTTGCATCCTGAAGCGAACACAACCCATGTCTGTGCGTCTGTGGGTCGCGATTCACCACTTCTGCGCATGCATGTGATGTTATTTTGACCGTCTGTGCATGTGCGAGCGGCAAAACCCAGAAGTAATGTGCTCCATTACTTCTGGATTGCCGCAGTGCGCAACCTGAAAATAATCATCCCGAAGCTACTTTAACCCAAGGTATGACTGTACAAGTATAGGCCATCATAAAACATCCATATAAAAAGAATTATAACACCGTATTTTTCGCTCTATAAGACGCACCAGACCATAAGACACACCTAGTTTTTGGAGGAGGAAAACAAGAAAAAAAAATCTGAATCTCAGAAGCCAGAACAGCAAGAGGGATTGCTGCACAGCAAAAGCAGCGATCCCTCTTCCTGTTCTGGCTTCTGGGATAGCTGCACAGCCTGCATTTGCTCCATAAGATGCACACACATTTCCCCTTACTTTTTAGGAGGGAAAAAGTGAGTCTTAATAGAGCAAAAAATACGGTATATAGAAATAAACAGCCGTGTTCCGCTAAATAGTACCATTCACCACTCTAAGAGATACTATTGACAAAAACCTCAGCCCCCCTTGCAGTTTCTTCCGGGTTGATGGAATCTGATATTTTCATTGTGCCATGATGTGAAAATAGCCAAAAAAGGGGATAGCACACATTTGCGTAGCTGGTTGTACAATGAAAAGTAGAAAAGGATATGTTCTACTGCGTCCGGCACATTTAAAGAACATCTGCAATGTCTATCATTTCTGGGGCTGTTTAAATATCTGCCCTTGACAAAAGCTGAGGGGGAAATGTTCAGTTGGGCTGACATAAAGGCCGTACGTTGGACTGGAATTATTAATTTTGAGATAGTATATGTGCTGCCGAAGCGAGTACAAGTACTTAAATATGTCTCCAATGCTACAATACGCCTTGAAACTGGATTCATAAGAATCGAGGCCAGAGTGTGGCTCGCAACTCTTAATTTTTGGCTGAGACTAGCCTCTCTTCTGAACAGCCTTCCTTCCTTGGCTACCAAAGACGATTTCCAGTCGATATGGAAATGAGCAGTGGATAATATAATAACAACTCTAGGATTCAATCCACAGTTCTTACTTAACATGGGGAACAAACAAGCCAAAAACATTATTAAACCGTGTGTAGTAGACATAGAACAACAGGCAGACCTAGCCAGGTCCCCAAAATTTTTAGTTAGCGAAACTAGAAGATACTTGACTTCCCAAATGCCATACATAGCTAATCTTGAAATACCAAAACAACGAAGGGCTTTCACCTAGGCCCATTATCAGGCCCTCCCTTCAGCAGTTCACAAAGGCCATTACAGTAGTACCTCGGGTTAAGTACTTAATTCGTTCCGGAGGTCCGTACTTAACCTTAAACTGTTCTTAACCTGAAGCACCACTTTAGCTAATGGGGCCTCCTGTTGCTGCCGCGCCACCAGAGCACGATTTCTGTTCTCATCCTGAAGCAAAGTTCTTAACCTGAAGCACTATTTCTGGGTTAGCGGAGTCTGTAACCTGAAGCGTATGTAACCCGAGGTACCACTGTATAGGAAGAAACCATATGAGGAGAGGAAATGTCCATGTGGCTCTGGGCAGCAGGAAAGAATGGAGCATGCCCATCTTCATTGCCAGTATTACATAGACATTTGAGCCAGGTTTATCCAGGCCATCCTATATAAGTTCCCTGGGCATTCAGAACAATACTACATCTCCCTATTACTACAGGACGAAAGCCCAGAAGTCACATATTTAGTCGCCAGATTTTGCGCTGCCATGATAGATAGAAAGATGATCTATGCTACAAATCAGTCCTAAATAGAAGGTCCATATTGTTAGATCCATACTTCTGAAGCCCCACCCCATACAGCTGTTCTTTTTTAACTGATCTCCTTTAAATTTTCCTTATCGGTTTTTATTCATTCATTACCTACGCTTAATCAAGTATTCTATGTCTATGTTTTAATCTATGTTTGGTTCTTGTTCCCAATTAATTTAATAATTATCTGCTTAGAGATATTGTTATGCTATTTATTTATATGTTTTGCTTATGCTGGTCTGTGACCGTAATAAAGTAAATTCAATTCAATAATTTTGAGATACAGTATAAGTGACTCTGTCATCTGTTGTATTCAAACCATAGAACTTGGGGAAACAAATTTTATTTACAGCTGGCTTGATGTTTTGTTTTTCAGTGTCCCTTAATCTGGTTTGAATTTTGCAATAAATATATTGCTCACTTGAATTATACAAGGGTTCCAAGTCAGTACCGATAGACCTGATTTTGCCATGCAAGGGTTGGAACTACAGTGGTACCTCAGGTTACAGACACTTCAGGTTACAGACGCTTCAGGTTACAGACTCCGTTAACCCAGAAATAGTACCTCGGGTTAAGAACTTTGCTTCAGGATGAGAACAGAAATCGGGCTCTGGCGGCGCGGCAGCAGCGGGAGGCCCCATTAGCTAAAGTGGTGCTTCAGGTTAAGAACAGTTTCAGGTTAAGAACGGACCTCCAGAACGAATTAAGTTCTTAACCCAAGGTACCACTGTATCTGGATTTATAAGAGTCCTTAAGTAAGTCAGAGAGCACTCAGACACAGCACTTTAAACTGAGGAGCTATGCCTAGAAACATGCCACAAAAGAAAGTCTGGACAAGCCCTGTTTTCTTGTCTGTTAAAAATAATCATATGCTAGCTTTTAAGGCTGTAAACTTCAAATTAATCATTTAGATCTGCCAACTTAAAACTTTTTGGCGGACTATGTTGACATTGGGCTGGCGCCTTCACTATATTCTTTTTGGCACATGCTAAAAATAGTTTTTGTTTGTTTAGGCAAGCCGACCCAGACATGCAGAATGTTGACATGTGTTTTAATCTGGTGGGTTTTGTTGTTTTTTTTTAGCTTATTGTTGATTTTAATCACTTTTTAAAGGAAATTTTAGGAAATAAATCTAAACAAAGAAGGGCCACCAATTATTGGACAACAGGTTTCATATCTATGTACAGTAACTATCTGTCTGTCTGCCATCAGTCTATAGAGAATAATAGAAATGTAGAGTTGGATGGGACCAAAAGGGCAATCTAGTCCAACCCTCTGCAAATAGAAACCATAACTAAAGAATATATCTATATAAAATTATTTGGACTGCAGTTGCCAAATTATTTGGCAAACCAGTAGCAGCCAGCGAGGCGGGACAGGACTGTGTTGTTGGCCAGTCTTCTGAATACAGGGCAACTCTTCTGGTTACCAAGAAGAAGAGAGAGAAGGCACTGGGGAGTTTGGTGTGGCACAGATACAGCATTTTGATACCCCTGCACTCACACTGCACCAAGGTCTCTGCTGCCTTGCTCTTCCACCAGCCCCTATTGGTAACCAGCAGTGATGTGCTGTGCTCGGAAGCTAGGTCAGCAGTGCAGTCCCCACCCTGTGCTGGCTTGCAGGCTATTACTGTGACAAAGGGTTAAAGCCCTTGCCCTCTATGTCTGGATCCCAATCCTGATGGGAGGCTCTGTTTGTGCCATTTGTATTGGGGTTGGGGAAAGTTCCATTGCAGTGAATGGGAGTTTTTTCTCTCTCTCTTTGCAATGCAAATTGCAGGCTAATGTGTATGTACAGATGGGGTGTGTGTGTGTGTGTGTGTGTGTGAGAGAGAGAGAGAGAGAGAGAGAGAGAGAGAGAGAAGAAAAAACTGCTGATGGCCAACATCTAAATTTATGCCTGTTATGACACATCACTTCAGAATGAAGAAATTCTGCTTTTTGCTTCAGAACGCCTCTGTTTACTCAACTGCAAATTGATGCTGCAAGTTTAACCAATTAATTAATCAACTATCTAACAACATGTTTATTCAGAAGTATGTCCCACTTCTGTTCAATTAGGCTTTCTTCCTAGTAAGTGTGTTTAGGATTGCTGCCTGAAACCCATAAGATTAATCAATTAACAGTGTATGACTGCACAGTTAAGACTGTCTTCCTATCCTTACTTAGTTGTCAGTAAAACAATTGAACTATGCGGGATGCACTTTAAACAGTGCATTCATAGAACTGTGCTGCATAGCTGCAATCCCATGCATGCTTATCTAGAAATCTTCCCTTAAATACAATGGGATTCACATCGCATTGCATAATATTGCTCTATGGGAATACATAAAATTGTACTATAAAATTTTGTTATTGGGTGCTAATTCTTAGGATGCCAGTAGATTCACATGCATAGCACTATGAGATATGAAATACAGCATTTGGGGAACTCAGATTTCAGCATAGCAACTGGGGCAAGAGTCACAGCAAGGTTTAAAGGCCTGCTCTTGGCTACAATCAATATTAAATTGCAGAAACATGGATCTCCTTCCTTATACCTGAAGCAGTATTAGCAACAAAAGTCAGGCTGCTCCCTCTCCCATTATTTTTGGAAGGAAAGAGAGTTGCATATTTGATAAAAATATGGGCATATACAACAGAATATACTGATTTATTAAAATTTGGTGTCTTGCTATTGGAACCTAAGAAGAGCCTGCTGGATCAGGCCAATGGCCCATCTCGTCCAGTGTCCTGTTCTCAAGTTGGCCAACCTTCAAGCAAGACCTGAGCACAAGAATACTCTCCCCTCCTGTGACTTCCTGTAACTGGTAAATTAGAACAGCCTTCCTGTCCTAAATCAGCACCCACAAGACAATTCACATTCATAATAAAGTGAGAAATAAAGCAACATATCAAAAAAGAGTGGAAACGATAGCAAACACAGAAGAAATTAAAATATCCAAGGATGATCAAGCAGTCCACCACCTTCTGAGGGAGTCTATTCCACTATTAAACAGTCCTTGCCATTAGAAAGTTCTTCCTGGTGTTTAGTTGGAATTTCTTTCCTTGTAACTT